TGTGGCCATCGAGGGGGGGGGGGGGCGGGACGGACCCCCTTCCTCCCCCACAGGGACAGGGTGGGTGTCGAGCGTTCCGGGAATGCTGGACCCCCTTGACATTGTGGCCATCGAGGGGATGGGACGGACCCCCTTCATCCCCCTTACCACAACTGGGGTCTGGTGTTCCGGGAACGCCGGACCCCCTGGTGCTGTGGCCATTGAGGGGTGGGGTGGGGTGGGGAGGACGGTGGTGGGTCTGCTATTTTTGGGACATCGTACCTACACACACAACGGTCGTCGGGTCCGGCGGACCCGTTGCGTGGGGCGGTAGCGAAACTTCCGTGCCGCGACGGATGTTTCTTCATGTCGCTTAGTGTTGTTTTCTTGTTGTCTTTTTCTGTGCGACCCTTCACGAAAAACAGCGTCTGGCTCCGCCCCCGAAAAACGGTACGGCAGGTCTAAGCTCTACCACGACGAACCATGGGCTCTTGATTGGGTAGGTGGCCTTTATATGCCGGGTTGTGGAGCCGTTGTCTTTTTGAGCGATGACAATGGCCTGAGTTGGTACTGCTGCGGAGGGGTGGAGAAATCGAAAGCGGGGAGGTTAACCTACGACGGCAGGAAGTTCAGGACCTTCTTCCTTACGTCTGTCTATGACAGAGAGGGGGAAAACTGGGTCAAGGAAGACAAGAAGGTGTCTCTTGACCATCGGCTCTTCCAAGGATACCGAGTCAAGGCTTCTCGATGAAAGCGTTTGACGTGCGTGGGAACGGAACGGAGTTCCAAATGCTGGATCCGGAAAAGTTTCTTTCCAAAACCAATGGCTACCGCGTGACTGGTTCCCTGCCTGTCGTCGACAACGCTTTCATGCTCAGCAGCCCTTCGGTCCAATTCAACAGCCCGACGGACCAACTCGCAGCTTTCGTTATGCGATACAGGAAGAGTTCGCGAGGCTGCCTGCTGCCCAGCAAGTTGACCGTGTTTTCGTGCCGATTGACGCCCCGTCTTCGTCGGCTGCGGGGCCCAAACGACGCCAGGATCAGCCGACCAGAGTGGGTGGAAAGAGGATGCAATTGGCGATTGCCCCGTCTTCATTAGGTGCGGTTGTCTTGGCTCTGCCCGCTCCGGTTCCGCCCTCGGATCAGAAAGGTCACGATGCGGCCAGGCAGTCCAGCGAGGCCACGGATTACGACGATGGAGCTGTGCGCTATCGGGTTGGTCCCCGACATCGTTCCCGGGGAGGTGCGGGTCCCTTCGATGACGAGGAATGCGAGGGCCAAGATGGGGAGGGCGACGGTTGGGGTGGGGAGGGCGGTGGTGAGGAGGGGGAGGGCGGTGGTGAGGAGGAGGAGGGTGGTGGTGAGGGGGACGACGGTAACGAAGGAGATGTTGTAGGTGAGGACGATGGCATGGACGACGATGTTGCTGAGGAAGTCGAAGACAATCGCTCCTCCCAATTTCACCGTCGCCACCAGAATGAATCGCAGGGGCGCCGTGAGGACGACGCGTGCAGCGTCGGTGACGCGGTCAATGCTAGTGACCAGCCTGCAGCCTCCCGCAGAATGTCGCAGTCCTTTGACCAGACGAAGGATGGGGGAGACGAACCTGGCTCACGGGGAAAGCGAAAGAGGGGAGAGGCATCGACCTCTCCTGCGAGTCGAACAAAACAGGCGAGGGCCGACGCCGTCAATGAAGCTCGCGGAGCGTTGACGGCATCACAGGAAGCGCGGGCTCCTCGAAAAACTGGTGGGGGGGGACGAAGTGGCAGCCGTGGGGGCGGTCACGGAGGCGGTAGGAAAGGCTCGCAGAGGTCCAGGGCACCTGAGCTGCGAGACTCGGGGGATGAGGGCGAGGGGGTGAGCCCTCTCATGCCCGTAGACATTGAAGAGCTGGTTCATCACGCCGCCCATGGACACGACACGATGTTTCTTCCTCGAATACGACGAACAGGGCTTCGCCAGGCAAGACGTCCAAGTTGTTAATGTCGACGTTAATAAGATCAAACCCATTCCCCGTGGGAAGATCCTGTTTAACCACCGTTCGTTGTCTGAGAACATTGTGAGAGGCATCGAGAGTGCCATAGAAAGCTCCATCAATGCTGACCTGGGGGTGTGGGATAGACCTGAGCTCGTTCTTGCACCAGTTGACCCCAACGTCACCGTCGGGGGGGCAGGGAAGGCGAATCACGCCGGACGAGTTCTTCCAAAGAGATTGTGCAGAGTTCGACTGATACGCTGTCTGCGGTCAGCATACTGCCGAGGCCATGAAATGGTTGGTTGGAAAGGACAGTCAAAGTCTACGGCCTCCGCACGTACTCTAAAGTGCGAGTCGTTTTTTTCGATGATGACCACACACGCGGGTACTTCAATGTCTCCCTCTTGCGCCATGATGTTATCCTTCTAGGACGCTGTGCGTGATATGCGGCAATGGTGGATCGACAACAACAGGATTGAGGCACCCAAAGCTAAGGTCAGCGAGAAGGATGCCGCCGCCGTTGCGCATCACAAAACGTGGCAGAACTTCCTGAGGGCTTGCATGGGGAAGGCGTGCGACAAAGAATTCGTGAAACAGGCACTCGACAACGAACACAACAAGGATAGGAGTAACAAACTTCGGGGGTACCTGAACCTCGCCACGTCCACCCGCACGGTTTGCCCGCTGGTGGAGAAGTTCTTCGCGATGTTCGAGGAGGGTAAGCTGCCAACTAGTAAAGGCAAGATCCCACTTGAGATGCTGGGGAGGATGGAGGGGCGCCTGCCCGGCCCGTACACTGACGAGAACAAGGGACAACGGACTTTGTACCACTGCATATATGCGAGAGATGGTCCCAAGGGCTCCACTGTCTCCTGGAAGGATTTGTGTCCTACGTACTTCAAGAACTTCGGGGACATGACATGCTGCGAGAGAGAAGTCGCGCTACTCCGGCTCATGTCGGGGAAAGTGGTGGCAACAAAAGTGAGAGTCACGCCTCCGAGGGTGAACACAGAGTGCCTCCTCGACATTATGCGCAAGGAGAGATACATGGTCCGCATGTTCAACTACATCGTGTTTCGCACCGAGGGAAGGGCAGGGGACGAATGGAACGACGACTTCTTCATGTCGTACAAGGACCAAAAAGAGAGGTATGCTTCAAACGGGTTATGCGCAGATGAATGGGAGAAGCAACGGGGGAAGCTGCATAGCAACATAGTGAAGACGATCCCTCGGCGACTTGGAGGAGTGGAGGAGGCGAGGCAAGGTGCGGGCTTGGGGCCTACACAAGTGATGTACAAGGAGGCTCCGTTTCACTTCAAGGTCTTTATATACACCACGATCGATAAGCTCGATATGATTCGAGCGGAGGTGAAACGGATTGCATCCAGTGCATGCCATCTTGTGTGGGACAAACTCCAAAGGCAGACCACATTGCTTCCTGTATGCATGCGGTCAAAGGAGGTTATGGCGGCGCCCGTCGACATCGTCGCAGCCGCACAAAAAATGACATGCAGGGCCGCCATCGTGGACATCTCGGCCGCGAATTTCAGCAGTGCATGCACCTCGCAGAACTTCGATGCACTTTACGCAATGATGGCGAAGTGTTGTGGTCCAAATCGGATCCTCTTCTTATTTGCACCGCAGAATGTGCAAAGCGATGTTTTGCGTCAATTGTACCGTTGGGAGGACATCGAGCTTATTCCCAGGTCATGGAAACGCGTGGACAGGCCGCCGAGCGACGTCACAAGGTACGATAACATCGCTACGAGCAGTCGGGACCTGATGGCGATCGTGCTGCACACTGAAGGAGGGGATTTGAAAAAAGTAACTGTCGCACCCCGTCTTCACAACGATCTCACCGAAGTGCATGTTGTGGAGGAAAAATTCGGGAAGTGTATCGGAAAACACTGTGGCGTCGAAGGCGACGAAAGTGCCGCATATTCAATTTGGGAGCGAGAACCTGACAAGTTGCGGAAGTTGTGCAGTTCATTCGTAGGAGAGGCGGAAGGTGTGCTTTTGCTGGGTAGGGCGCATGCGGGTCTTGTATGAAAGTTATTGCTTGCAGGTAATAATGTCATTGCCTGTGACGAGTCGGCCAAGGACATTGTATACTTGACAAAGTTCGTCAACATACTTGTTAAGGATGGGAGATTTGAGTGTCGCCTCGAGAAGTCGCGTGCCACACATCGCACGAACAAGGATATGTACCACAAGTTGGGACCGAAACGACTGAAGGTGTGGGAATACATGTTCCGCGATGCGCCGGATGGACGCCTTGATGGGGGATACATATATAGGAAAGCCAAGGTGACCGAGGTCCTCAAACATTATCACGGTGCTCTAACTGGCGCCTTCGAGACATTCGATGCTCGATGCGAGATCTTGAGGTTTGATTTTCACAAAGATAAACTGACATTTAAGGACTATGCAGACCTCGCTAAATCGGGTGAAGGCCTTAACCCCGTTGACACAGCGAGGAAGACTCGTCGGACTCCGACCTCGAGATCGAAAAGGACACCAATGCAACCGGGTGGTGTGGGAAGTCCGCTGCCATGGAACACAACGTCAAGGGATATGGACCGGGTCAATCAGAGGGATGCTCGAACCTGCCACCCACGAACAGTGTGGCCTCGGGTGTGGATCGGGTCGTATGTAGGCCTGTGGAAGACGACGAAGACGATGACCTTGATATTCCTGCTCAGCCAACGAAGATGGCGCCAGGCGATCCGATTCCTCCCAGATTTTGTGCGGATCCAAACAATGTGTATTTCTTGGATGACAAATACGCGTGCACTAGTGAGGACAAGTGGGGCCATGATGTCATTTCGCATGACGGCATTTTCGAGCCATGTATCCAAGGCGGGGAGTGGAAAATGGCGATGAAGTATGTCTCGAAGGGTTGGAGACCGTTTCCCCGCATGGGAAAGGACAGTTGGCTGAAGACGACGGAGCAATCAATACTATACCGCTATCAGAAAGAGAACCCCGGGGAGAGTGAAACTTCCATCACGGCAAAGGCGAAACAATTGTTCGACGCCTTGGGAGCCACTCGGCAGTTAGAGTACTCACACAAGTTTTACGAGCTGCAGTCGAGCCCCTCGTACGGCAAGATTGACTGGAAGGTTGAGCGTGCTGCTGCGCTCGAGAGCATGGACGTGGACTCCCGAGAAGATGCCGCCCCTGTGCCCGAGGCGGCCACAGGGAACACGATGGGTGAACAAAGGGAAGATGGCGGGATGACGTTGGGCGTGAAGCCTCCGTTGCCAGAGGCGGGGAATACGCTCGCAGGCAAAAACACCATCGGAGCCATCTCTGTCGCAACGGGGGATACATCACAAGGTGAAAAAGTATCACTCGACAAGCCGGCGGATGCGGGCGCCACATACGGGAGTCTCCTCGCGACAGGTGCGGCGCTGGCAGGCACATCGGAGATGGTGTCAGAGTCCACTGGTGAGATGGGCGTCACGGGGATGTCGTTGCATCCGCCCACATGCACTAGCAAAGGTGACGCACACTGTACAACAACACCACAGGGAGGGGTCACAGAGGATGGCGGGAATGGGGGAAATGCAGGGGGGTCTCCACGTTCTCGCAATATTGAGGACATGACGACAGACGATGAGGATGGGGTAGAAGGCGGAAAGGGCGTGAGCGATCCCACGCGTGCAAAAAATGAGGGGTGAGACAGGGAATGAACTTGAGGGGAATCTTCTTCGCGGGGAAATTTAATGTTTTCGTGTGTGTGCTCATTTGTTTGAAATCTGTGTTTGTGGGCAGAATTTGTTCTTGTGTACAATCGACCTGCAGACTCATTAGTGTTCAATTTTCGGGATTTGGCCTTTTAATTGGTGATATGAAAATTGTGTGGTGAACAAGAGTGTGTTATAGTATGCGTGTGTGTCTCTCTATATTCGTCCATATGCTGTGTTGTGTATATGCATGTATGCCATTAGGGTACGGTGATGAAAGGGGGCAGGAGTCGGCATTGATTGGTCCCGAAGTGTTATCGTCCATCTAAGTGTAAGTTTAGCGAAACATTGATGATGTATTTTGAATACATCATTCCGTTTAGCATGTTATGCTAAGGCACTTGCCCATGTACAAGTATCTCAAATGGTCGCCCTCCCCGTTTTTCACACCGCCTGCCCACCCGTTTCTTACTTTCCTGTAAGGGCGACCATTTTTTACACCCCTGTCTGCCTCGATCACCGTTGTTTACACCGTCGTCGATGTCGTATTCGTCGTGCTTGTCGTGTGCAGTGCAAATTACAACAACGGATACAAGAAAGTGCAAAAGAGGGTGGACAATACGCCTCGCAAAATCGTCTTTATCAGAGAAGGAGATGAAAACACTCTCACATGTATGCCGAGAGTATGGGAAAAGGTTCCCAACAGCGAGCACACACAATCACGGGACGAACGAAGTATTGAAGCTAACTCGAGACGAATTGATTATACTAGTCGACGAGCGGAACTGGTTAAATGACAACGTCGTCAACTTCTACCTGAACCTCATCGCACTAGACAACTGGTGTAGATTCACACACGTAGAATGCGATGTCGAGAACGAAACCGTGATCAGAATCGGAAAGGGTCGCATTCCTAGAATATCAGTGCTGAGCTCGTTTTTCTTCGCCAGACTTTTCGACAGCGAAATGAGATATCAAGAGTGAGAGGTGCAGCACTGGTCGAATGACATCATAATAAGTGACATGGACTTGATAATTGCCCCTTTCCATATCGCACACACGAACCACTGGACCCTCGTTGTGGCTGACTTCAGGAGGAGAAAATTTGAATTTTACGACTCCCTCAGCCCCGACAAAGAACTGGCAGCCAAAGTGACCAGCGGATTTGCAAAGTTTTTGTTTAAAAGATCGATTCAGCAAGGCAAAGAGGTGTACACGAAACCGTTTAATCACATATGGACCGTAGAGGGCGTCCCGAAACAACGTGACACTAGCTCGTGTGGGGTCTTCATGCTCGCATACGCATCGCTATTGGCAAGGGGTCACCTTCCGCCTTTCTCTTTCACCGCTGATGACATACCCGCAATATGTCGTCGAATGACTTTGGACACAGTGGCTCGTGAGTAGTATGAACCTGCTGCTGGATATTGTGATTACATGCGGATGAATGTGGGTAACATTAAAGTGTTTGTCATGGAAACAGTGTATAGAAGATGACAAACCATTGCTCTAGGTTCCTGCCCCTTACCCATTGTTTTTACCCCTTATCCCTTACCCCCAAACCCCTTACCCCTTACCCCTTACCCCTTACCCCTTACCTTTGCATGTGTACCCATACCCCAAATTCAAATGTATTTTTGACCCTGAATCACCACGGAAATGATAATTTCAATTTCGTTCAAAAAATATAAAATGTCTGTTTTGACGAAATCGTTGTTTCCCCTAATTGTCTGGCCGCAGACGCCCTTTCTCTCGACTAGAACTTACTGCCCTCCTCGCCTTACAGATGGGTTTTCCCGCCAACCTGTCTACTCCACCAGGTCCTGGCAAGAATGAAGCACTTTGGAGGTGAGTACCTGCTGGTGACACCCAACTCTAATAGAGCTAGCTGGTTTCCTCTTCTAAGCTCCTTTCCTACAACCTTCGTACAAAATCTTGCTAAGGAATTTTCAACCTGCACTCCCACATCTAGAATTCCTAAGCATGCCTTCAACCATAGTAAGACCGGTATGAGGGTTAGCATAATCTCTTTCTAACAGTAATTGCACCCATATCCGTAGCGCAGAAAGGACGAAAAATGCTTCCAGGTACCCTGTCCAAGCATTTTTTTCAGACTCCAACCAGCCTGAATACCGGCCCGAACTCCACCAACCTGGAAGCTATGGATGCTTTCACCAACATAAATTCCAATGGCCTTCAACCTACCCTTCAGACGTTTGTTGAATCCACTGAAACTCAGGATGCCTTTGGTCTGCGTTGTCGGCGCGAATACCCTTACAAGGGTATCCGCCCTGGTTTTTGCAAGTGACAAAAAGGCTCGATTAGCCTGGCTTTTGGGTGCTCGTACGGGAAAAATGTGAGGGTCGTCCGCGCCCGGGCCAAGGTCTGCCTTGTCCCGGTATGGAGTATGTGGGCGCGCAAATTTTGAGGCGCGCGTGTGATTTTTTCTGGTTGAGATAGGCGGTCGGTCTAACCGACCGGCCCGACCATGTTGCGAGCTTGGATTGAGGGTAAAAGTCTGTTTTTGATCGGAACGCACGGTCCAGCGGTAGGGTTGACACGCCAGTAGGCGCATGCGATGGCCCGGGCCCAGGCTGGCAGGGTGACGCACACGCCAAGGGGCCGCGAATGTAGGTGGGGGCCGAAGGAGTGGCCGAGGCGGTACCTTGGCCCGGAGGTGCCGTGTGAGACCGCCTTATGTGGGAAGCCGCACCTGCTGGTCACAGGCTTGGGCTTAGCCCTATCGGTTACGACACTGGATTGTTTCGGCAGAGGTACGAGGTTCGAGACCGGCAGACGGAGGCACGGGAGCAATGGAGCGGAGAAGCCGAGAGGTCAAGGGTCCCTTAGGACTATCCCCCTTTTGTTTTGCTGAGGCAGTTCGGTCGCGGGCCCGGCCACGGGGCAAGGGGGGCCTTGGGGATGCCCGCGGCCTGTAGCCATTTGGAGACCCCCTTCGCTAAGCAGCCCCGGGGGCTAATGTCTAAGTCCACCTTGTTTTACCTCATCCCCTGTTTACCATCCTAGGGTTAGGGGTCGAAGGGAGGGGTGACTAAGTTATGGGGGAGCAACAGGGTGGTGGAAGGAGAGAATTTTGAAAGAGCCCACGGGAGATCTATGTTCTTAATTTTTTTTTCTCTTGGCTGGTCAGACTTGCTGACGCAGCAACCGTGGAAGGGGGGGGGCCCGGGAACGAACCCGGATGAGAAAACGGACTAAGGACAGGAGGCCATGAGACCGCTAGCCGCGCCGACGAGGGCCGCGCAACGCGAGTCCTACGGGATACTCGCTAGATTCAAAACAATATGGGGAAGAGTAGCATGGCCCCTGCGTAAGGACGATACGTATAGATCCCGAAAAAGGGCCCGGGTTCGCATGCCAAAGCAGGGCGAGGCTGCAGCCACGCGTGTCCTTCGGGACAGGAGGTTCGCTTGGCCAGGCGCGAGTTTGACGCGTATGGACCCCGACGGAGGGGCCAGGTGCGAGCGTCGGGGTAGAATGGGGTTGTGGCTGCGCGGAAATCCAAAAGGCATCCATGGAGATTGAAGTGATATCGGGAAGAACCGCCTGGCTGCTATGAAGGGTAACGGGGGAAAGTCCGGGAATGAACCCGGACGGAAAACAGGAAAGGGGCGTGGAGGGCCGTTGTAAGTGGGGTCCTTCGGAATATCTGTTGAAATCGGTACCATACAAGGAGGATCCGCTTGGCCAGCCGTACAAAGGGAGTGGTTGCGAAGCCCGGGGATGAACACGAGCGCGAGACGTGGCCAGGGGGGCCCGCAAAGAGGAGACAGGGAAGACTTGCACGGCCCTGTGCAAGGTTCGCATGCATGAAGCCCGAAGGAAGGGCCAGGTCCGTGCAAGAAAGCGAAGTGGGTGGGGGTACGGCCACGAAGGATCGTATTGGGGCACCCGTGGGGGATTCGGGCCGATACGGAGAAGGTCAGCTTGGCCCAGGGTAAAGTCGAAGTGCACGATCCCCAAGAAGGAGGGTGGGCTCCTGTGTTAAAAAGGGGCGGGGTCTCGGCCGTGTAGGGTTCGGAGTGCTGAGGAAGGTGCTGCCCCGGCCCGTGTTCTTTGGGACATCTGTCGAAATTGGAACGATACAGAGAAGTTCAGCGTGGCCCCGGCGCGAAGCTGACACGCATAAGTCAAGCGGAGACCCGAGTGCTCGCGATTTTTTGCTCGCTCACCTCTTGTTGCGTGCTTCCGGACGGACCGACGGGCAGCGGGGCCGGTTGAAAAACGAAGAACGGAGTGGCAGGCACCATTGTGAAGAAGGTGAACCAGGACGCGATCTGGCATGGGGTGCGTGCGAGATAGTAAGGGGCGCAGCGAAGGAGTGGCGAGCTATGGCCGGAGGGAAGACGGTTTTACGCCCGTTCCTCGACGGAAATGGGCGAATAAGGGCTCGTTCCTAGCATTTTCGGCCATGGCGAGTTTATTAGTGAGGGTAGTTCGGGCGGTAGGTTAGCGGATATGGAGTCAGTAGAGAAAGATGGTGCGCCAGGCTATGGTGGGAGCTAAGGAAGAAGGGAGGAGAAATCRAGATTACTACTCGATTCTCTRTGAACTCGGGCGGAGGGGAAGAAGCTAATCTGATGTTTGGGTYAGGGCRAATCCATTGGGGTGGCCCGAATTAGCAGYWGAGTAGTAGTTTTTGYGCAGTRTGACTTATAGGCTGCGCGGAGGTGTTGAGAAACGGGGATGGGGGGAAGCATGCAACACGATACTCACCCGATCTTTGATGAAATCGGAAAAGGGGAAGGGCATTCTAAAGGCTTTGAGGGCGAGGGAGACTAATGAGGGAATAGGATTTGTGGGTTGGGGCTTAGATAGCGCAGTATGAGCGTTAAGAGCTGCGCCTGAAGGAAGGAAATCGTCGAATCTGTATCTCTCCGTGTTCTAGCGGAAGATTCACGTAATTTTCCTCATTCTGTAGAACAAGTAACCAGGAGCGAACTGAGGGGTGGGCGACTTACCTTTCGGCCAGTGTGACGCCCCTTCGAACGAAGACAGTG